CGGGCATGGGGTGGGCAAGGGGCCGCTTTTCCCCATGCTCAGCACCAGCTTGTAATGGGGTCCCTGCTGCCAGCCTGGGCCCCGTGCTGGCTCTGGGCTCGGCTGTCAGGGCTGCTCCGTGGTGGAAGCACCTGCGGCCCCCCGACTTGCTGTGCTGGGCCGTGTTTGCCATCAATGCCTCTGGGCTGCTCAGCACTTGAGCTCTGGGCAGGCAGCAGCAGCAGCAAACACTGCCTGGCATGGCCAATGGGCAAGCCCAGAGCTGGCGCGGGGCCCAGGCTGGCAGCAGGGCTGGGTTACAAACTGGTGCTGAGCATGGGGGAAAAGCAGCCCCGCCCCATGGCTGGCGCCCCACATTGCAGCCACTCACAGCCCACCTGGGACTGCCTGTGCCTACTCAGGACTGCCCCGCCTGGGCTGCAAGAGGCTGCAACAGGGAGCACTAGCCACGGGGCAGGGGAGGAGCCACTTTTCCCCACACTCCTTTGCTCGGGGTCCCCCCTTACCTGAAGTTCCAGTGTGGGGCAGCCACATGGTCCCAGGCCAGAAGCCCTGCTGGGGCTTCCAGGTGGGGTGGGGCTTCCAGCTGGCGGGGCGGGCCCGGGCAGGCCCTGCTGTTGCGGCAGCCCGCCAGGCTTTCCCTAGCTCCTACTGCCCCTGGTTCCTGTCATTTTTGACAGGAACCAAAGACAGAGAAATATTAATTTTCTAAATTTTTTTAGGGGCCCTGCGGGCCAGATAGAATGGCCTCGTGGGCCTGATGTGGCCCATGGGCCATATTTTGCCCACTCCTACCCTAAACCATATACATATTATCGCTCGTCAAATTCTTATGAATAAAGAACTACCCATTTATTCATGGGCTTTTCTGTGGAGCTTATCACTAGATTATCTGAATAGTTCACAATTTATTTATACTGTGTGTCAGAGGTTCCTGTTATCTTTAAAAATGTATGTTAATATTAAGTGTCCAGTTTGAGATGCTTAGGACCTACCCTTTTAGAGTTTTTAGCATTGAATACAAAAATACTCAGCCCTTTATATTTGTGATTCTCAACCAGGGTGCTGTGGTACGCTAGTGTGCTGTGAGATCCTTTAAAGGTGCTACAGGATGCTGTGCAATATTAGCATTGTTAAGTATTCAGACACCAACATGATTCACAAAATAAACCCAGAAATTTCACACAAAATGTTCTGACCTGTTGGGGTTTTCTGAGTTTTTGCAACAGAAAAAAATTTCTGATGTTTTTCCGTACTCAAAAAACTAGTGAAAGCTAAGAACTGGTATTTTCTGAGAGGTGCTTTGAGTCTAACAAGGAATGTTGTGAATCTGAAGAAGTTGAGAACCTTGCTGCTTTTTATGTTCAGGACACGGTTCCTCTTGACTTCAGTTGCTGTTACAAGTGTCCCTAGTTCTACAAACAAGACTCAGAGTTTTAAGTTGTGCTCCCCAAAAATGAGGGACCTGCAAGTAATGACCATTTATGAAAATTGTTCTTGAAACAACTTGACAAGCATTGCAGAGAAGCTTGGCAGCAGAATTTGGGACAGAATCTAGTTTGGTAGGGCAGCATTTAACTGGCTTAACTTTCAGTTACTGCAGTTGTAGGCCTTATTCACTTTGCACCTTTGAAATCCTGCCGCAAATGAGGCAGGGGGCATACAGACAGCAGGCTGTTTTCTACACAATCCTAATTTATTCCGTATCCATCCTGATTTGAGAGCGGTTCTGTAGAAAAAAACAGTATATGCTCATGTAGTTAAAGATGGTATCATAATGTGTATGTAGACGGGGCTGATATAAAGTAAGCTAGATTGGCAACTTGAATTCTAATATTTCTTAGCATGCATTTTCAACCTTAATGTTTTAACATAGTTTTTGTGTGTACAATGCATGTGTACACATGCTTTTGCTTTTATGTAAATAACTTAATACAGGGATAGGCAACCCCTGGCATGCCTAGTGACACGCAGAGACATTTTCATTGGCATGCCAGGCGGTGTGCGAGGAAATTATTTAAAAAAAATTTTTTTTAAGTTGCTGCTCCAGGCTTCCCAGAGCAGCCACAGGTCCCAGCACTGCAGCAGGCACCAGGGGTGGAGTCAGAAGAACAGAAAGAGGGACACAGTCCACCCCTTATCCCTGGGCTGCACCCTCCAGCCCCAGCTGGCCCCTGGAGGGGAGCTGTGGGCAGGCAGGCCTGGGGCTCAGGCAGGCACTGCAGAGGGCCTCTGTGTTGGTGACTCCTGGCCAGCTTGGCCTTGAGTGCTGCTTCCCCAGCTGTTTCAGGGGTCCAGGGGGTTCCTGTGACTGGGCCCTGCAGCTGGGCCCTTACACTGGAGGCAACTCTGCCCTGCTCGTGTTGTGCCCAGCGCACAGGGAAGCTAAGCCTGGAGCTGGGAGCCCTTTGAGCCTGGTGCCCTGTCCTGGCCGGACAGCATCCCCTTGTGGGCAGGGCAGCTGTGGCCCATGCCTGTTGAGCTGTGCAGGCCAGGCTGGGCCCCACCTTGGGTGCTGCTGGGTGCCTCACCCACCCGCCAACCACAGCCTGGGTCTGCAGAGCCCCAGGGCATCTCCTGCTTCCAGCCCGGCCCCCACTCTCCTCTGGCTGCTGCCTTCCCAAAGGCCTGGCCAGGCTGGCCTTCCCACCACACCTCCTACGATGCCTGCTTTTCCCCGTGCTGCCTGGACCCTGCCTGAGTGCTTGGTGCCCTGGTGCTGTCTCCACGCTGGTGGGACAAGGCATTTGTCTGACTAGGCTCCCCCTGCTCCAGGACTCTTGGGGAGGCCTGAGTGCCCCAGCCCTTGTGGCTGCTGCTGGGGTGTTACTGCCTCCCTCTGCTGGATGCTGCTGTAGACCAATGGGCCTGAGCCATAGCTGGTAGCAGAGGGAGATGAGGTTGGTGAGGGACACACCCTCTTTCTTTGCCCTTTTTTTCTGTCTTCTCATTCTTTCTCTCTCTCTCCATCTCGTTTTTCTTTTCTTCTCCTTTTCTTCTCTTCTCGCTCCTTTTTTTTCCTCAATTTTTCTTTCTCTCTCTTCTCTCCTTTCTCTCCTCTTTTTTCTCATCTTTTTTCATCCCTTTTTCTCGTTTTTTCTTTCTCTTCCCTTTCTCTTTTTTCTCTTCTTTCTCTTACCTCCTCTCTCTCTTTTTTCTATTTCTTCTTTTTCTCTTTTTCTCCTTTTTTCTTTACCTCTCTCTCTCTCTCCGTTTTTCTCCTTTATCTTTTCTTTTTTCTTTCTCTTTCCCTCTTTCTCTCTCCTCTTTTTTTCTTCTTTCTTTTCTTTTTTTCTCTCTCTTATCACACCATGCTTAACAAAAAAAGAATACGCAAGAACAAAGGTAGTATATGAAGGTTTATTTATTGTCACCAGATCGATGAGTGGCACAGGGTAAGTCTGTGGACTTGAACCTGTGTATGGGGTCAGTGCACGAGCCAGTCCATCACAGGGGAAACTGTTGGGGTCAGTAAGTGGGTGTGAGCAGGCGCTGCAGCCAGCCCCACATGCCCTTTCCAGATCTGATCCTGCATGGTGGCACGATCTGGCACATGCAGGCCCCCCATGGATCTGGAAATTTGGCATCAGGGGAGCCCAGAGCTGTGGCAGTTAACATTACTACCACTCCACCACTGCTGCAGGTGGGATCCTGCCACCACTGCCAAATGTCTGGACCCATAGGAAGACCCATAGACCTAAGGATGTGGTTCTGTGGGCTGGAGATTGAGCAGCACTGTATTAGATAATGATAAAAAAATTACGGATGTCATTTCAGAGCCTAACCCAGCCTCTAACTGATGGGGTGTAGGAAGAAATTATCACTGTAATTTGTGTCAAAATTGTTTGCTTATCTATGAGATCCCAGGATCTCAAGTTGGGTTCCCCAAAAATGGGGAACCCACAATAGTATCTTGTCGAATAAATGAATTCCTGGGCTTATCTGGTATAGAAGTCCTGTGTTAATATGTTGACGGGGATGTCTTCTCTTAAACCCAACTTCCCCTATATAGCTGTACTCTCACATTTTTATTTTTATATGCATTGACATTTCTTTGATTTTTATTTTTGGGTTTCTCCCTGCCCCTAAGCTACAATGTGGTTGAAATCAGAGTTTTTGAGAACTCTATTATAACTGATATTTAGGAAAATAAAACTGGATTTTTAAAAAAAAATCTAGGATATTTTTAATTTGGCGGGGGGCAGGGGAGAAATTTAACATTGTCCACTTAAGGGCAAATGGTGTGACAGTCTGTTATTCAAATCCACCAGAACAGTGTAGCAGGAAAAGGATATAGAAACTAACCTGCCTATTAACATACAAAAGGAAATGACTTTTGGGGACAGCAGGAATTTAGTACAAATGCATTGCTTCATTATGTCATGGATTAGAATTATACAATCTAAATTAATTAAAAGAACTACCAGCATCTTCCAAGCTACTTCATATAAACTAAATAATGTTCTTTAGAAAAGTTCTGGGTAAACTGAAATTAAATACTTCCTCCAAAATCAGTTATAAAAATATCGTGCTTTATCTTAAACTAGTACTAGAGCCTAAGTATACACTATGTACTTTAAACAAGTGTGAGATAAATTAGATTTGGTACAAGAATTCTGAAATAAACATAGTACATCTTATTGCTATAGAAATAAATGTATTTGTAAATTGCTGGTTTACTGAAATATATAGACAGCTAAAATAACACAATAAACTATTTACATATTGTTTTAATTTTTCTTCTTCTCACTATGCTGCCTGTAATTGTCATGTGTAAGTTTTTTTTCTTACTATTTTAATCCTTTCTCAGAACTTTAGAAATATAACTCATTCATGTATTTCTCATTGTCAAACGTTTATTTTAGGCATCTGTGAATGATCCATATTTGTGTGCTGCTTTTGTGGGTCTGAAAACTTCCACTACCAGAAATCACCTTGTACGAGCTATACTGGAATCTATAGCTTTCAGGTACTGAATTTAATTTAATGTAGCTAATTTTTTATATTTTTAACTGTTTTTTTTCTCTGAGTCGGGATATTGGTCATCCAGTATGACATAAATAGCTGTACTTTAACCATTTGTAACATGTTAACTATAGGACTCCCTTACCTCAGCAATGAGCAGCTTTGGCGCCTTCCCTATTTTCCTTGCTAATATAGTACAAAGATAGTGTTATGTACATTCGTAAAGGCTCAGAGTTTTTGTTACTAACAAGTAAAACAGTTTTCAAAGTAAAATGCACTTAGCCCTTTTGCATGTACAAAACCTGTCTTCTCCCTAAAGTTTCTCCTCTTGCTTCCTGGTTAATCTGGGTAAAACAAACAAACAAACAAACACAAAAACCCTATTTCCACCCCTGACTTTCTCTAGGCAGATGGAAGCTGGAGTTTCTTCAGTAACTCAGACTAATGTTTTAGGTTATCAGTGTTTAATATAAGATAGTGATGGATATCATAATATATCCAACACCAGAATTTATGTTTGCCACTGAACAAGGGGGTGTACTTCTTGCTTAAAGGGAAAGCTGAAAATCTCATCCAAAGTGACAGTCAAGAAAACTAAAACCCTTCAGTTTATATTTTTTTTCTTGCTTTGAGTTTACGTTTTTCCTTATCAAATGGGTTAGCTGTCCAGGCAAGATTAAAATTATGCTGTTGACAGTTTCAAAAGCAGCTGAAGCACTTGGCTGAATCTCTGCTTAGCATTTTCTTCAACCTTCTTTTCTCATTCCTTCTGATTGCTTGTTACATCTGCTTGCTGTACCTTGCCCTAAATAAACAATACTTTTTTGGCTGGGAACCACATTTCCTTATATGGTGCTTAGTACAATGGTCGATCAGGGATCGTGATTTAGGCACAAGGACATTGGACTGTTGCACACCATTATGACAATCTTAGTTCATCTTCTTTTGAATCATTTACTCCAGACTGGGAAACTATCACTGGCAGTTCTAAAACTGTGTCACCTTTTGTCCTTTAGCATACTTGCATATTCTATGGATATTGCAAACAGTTTTTATAATGTACAACTTACACATACATGCATAATTTATGTATATTAATGTTTATTTTTATTTTCTTTTAAAGAAATAAACAGCTGTATGATACCTTTTTGAAGGAGCTGCAAATTCCACTTAGAAATATTCGGTATGTTTGTATTCCTTGTAATACCACATAAACCTTAAACTGGTGTTTGTGTGTTCAGGAAAAACAGTTGTGGGGGGAAAAGGTTACTCTAGAACTTGGTTATTCAGTTGTCCCTATTGTGAAAATGCTGAAAGTGAGAACTGGTCAACCCACTTGAGTGTAGTGTCCATATTGATAGAACTTCATAAATAATATGGGTTCTGCTCAAGGGGAAGTTTTCAACTATATTAACTCAGTTTGGCAAGTATGAGCTGGTAGTTGAGTCATGTGTTGAACTTTCATATTCAGGTTTAATAGAAGCCAGAAAAAATACAAATTTTCTTCACAGGATTAAAGGGATATAGTAAGCTATGTCTATACTTAAGGTTTCCTGATACTTGCTATTATAAGGACCTTTTATCAATTGCTTGTAATTTTGCCAAGTTTTGGTCACTGGGATGATATTTGCCATACTGGTCATCTGCTTCAGGCTGACTGTTGTGGGGAAAATTTCATCAAAAGATGTTCAGCCATTTCTGAGTATGAGATTAGGGAAAATATTATTTTGTGCTCATGTTAACATTTGTTTACAACTGTTTGTAAGTAACTGTAGCACTTTTTCACTTTTTGGAGCAGGAATTGAAATTTAGCAAGCCAGTTACCCTGCGGGTATGCTTTTATCACCCTCTTGAAAATCTGAAAAGTCTAGGGATCAGCTTCTGAACATCTCAGTTTGTACATATTCAGTTGGAACTTCTTAGAGTTTGGTTATTAATATTCCAAGGAGTCCGTCTTTAATCACAATTCATTCCAAAGTTGTAGGAGCTCTGAAACTTTTTATGAGATGACTCCTTCACACAGATAAGGACCATTGATGCTATATGTAGAAATAGAAAAAAAAACTCTCTTATTTTTTCAGTGTTCCCCATACTGACACACAAGCAGCAAAGGAGGAGTGTAGAGGCATGAGGAGGCAGACCTTGGATAGGAAGCAGAAAAGGGACAGAGACACATGGGAGAATGTGGAATAAGATGTGGGCAGAATTTAGGAGTGAGGAGTCGGGACCCAGCAAAAAAAAAATAGATTTTACAGAATCATAGAAAACTAGGGTTGGAAGGGACTTCGGGAGGTTATCTAGTCCAACCGCCTGCTCAAAGCAGGACCATCCCCAACTAGATCATCCAAACCAAACCTTTGTCTAGCAGGCTCTTAGAAACCTCCAAGAATGGAGATTCCACAACCTCTCTGGATAAATTGTTCCAGTGTTTTACTACCATCCTAGTGAGAAAATTCTTCCTAATATCTAACCTAAACTTCACTTGCTGCAACTTCAGATGGTTGCTCCCTGTTCTCTTATCTGCCACCGCTAAGAATAGTCTAGCTCCATCCTCTTTCGAACCTCCCCTTCAGGTAGCTTTTCCAGGGACTGAGGTGAAGCTGACTGGTCTGTAGTTCTCTGGATCCTCCTTCTTCCCTTTCTTAAATATGGGAGAGCTGTTTGTGGAGAAGTATCCATAACCACTAGAGTAGTGGTTCCCAAATGAGGGATTGCAACCCTGAGTGGAGTTGTGAAACTTAAGGAGCCCCTAATTCCTTTTGAGCCTGCAATCACTCAGTATATTTTCAATTAACAATGAATGTTTGGACTTACTGCTCCTCATCTACCCTTGTGCCTTCAGTTACCCCATGGTGAGAGCTGAATTAAGACAGTTTATTCCTAAATGACATGTGGCTTTAATCCTAGATTAGCTTTTATTGACCACAGAGAAATTGCTGGGACAACAGCATTTCACGTGCCCAAAGTTAATAGGAGGGAAGGACTTGTCACACCTCAGATGTTCCATGGTAACTGTGTATTTGCTCCTACCTCATAGTGACTGAAAGCTGGGGAAACAGCCCTGTTTCACTCAAGAGTAAGCTGCCCTGTTTAGTTCTCAGTGTGGGATAACAGTGGGCATGGGGACAGTTACCATGGAGCAGCTGGGTCATGTTAAGTCCCTGCCTCCTGATAGTTCTAATATTATAAAAGCTTAAGTCTGTCTGTCTCTGTCTGTCCGTAATGCTTTATTCGCACTCTGATTGGCTGACAAACAGCCAATCAGAGTGTGAACAAGTGTTCGAACATCAGCTGGCAGCACAGTGCAGTGCCGCCATGATGGGGGGATCAACAGAGCCCAGCCCTGCTCCCCCCCCCCCCCCCC